CGGCGATGGGGGAGCGAACTGCTCCGATACCAGTGTAACGAGCGCAGAGGCAGAGGACGAGGAGGGAGCAGAGGGAGAGAGAGAGTGAGAGCACACACACACACTCACTCACTCACGCGACTGAACTCGACCAGACGCAAACCAGGGGCTGAGGCACAACGTCGAAGTCTTGGTTTCGAAGGCCCAAACAGCAAGTCACACTGAGTACGAGCACAGCAGTAGAAAACTGGTACCAGACTGGTCCCCGTACCATACGGGGACCCAGTATAAGTACCCATGGCACACATACGGTACCAGGGGCATTTCTGCAAAGGCCCCGAGGGCAGAACTGGAAAAATGTGGTATTTGAAAGTGGCGCCCGAATTGCAGCATGGCACCAGTTATCCAAAATCCTACGGCACCAAAGGAGGGGTTTGGGAAAAGGGTGCCAGGCCGAAAATGGGATGCAGCCGAAACAACAAAAAGATAGACCAGGGATCGAGCCCTGGCGGAGTCCGTAACAAGTGGTCTCAACTACGGGTGTCGTGTGTGTGTGTGTGTGTTCCTCCCTCGTTCCCTCGTGATGGAGTTCATGAGGGGGATTAGGTACGGATGTTGGACCTGTCCCCCTCACGGGTTCTGGGTCGTCCATCTGAACTAGCTAGTGTTGTTGCACTAGCCACACATAAAAATTAGTGAAATTGTTCATTTATTATTGTGAGTGTGTCGTGTGCTGAACAACGAAATCATTGATATGTGTGGTGATTTTTAAGTACATGTTGTGTTATTGGGATGCATTTGTATTGTGGGAACCCATTGTTGGTCATGATGTTTAATAGTTTGTATATTTGTATTACTGCATTAGCGTTGCTGTTTTCTATTGTCATAGTAGTGATAATTTGTGGGACGAATATTTTTAGTGATTGTATGATGGGGCAGTTGGAGTTATATTTGAGTAGTCGAATGATGTTAAAGTTCAGTAGTTTTTTTTTAATCATATTTATGGGTGGAGAATTGTCCTTGTTGTGTATTGGTTACTTTAATTGTAACATTCAGGAATTGCATTCTGTGTCGATTGGTTCTAGATCTCTAAATTGGGAGTGTATGCGGTTTGATCGTTTAGTGTTACGTATTTAAGGGGGTAAAGAAAGTAAGTGCTTGTGGGGCTGGTGATATGTGGTTAATGAAATCCTTGATGTTGGGGTTGTTGATCATGTGTAGATCGTCGAAGTATCTGAAGGTGTGTACGAATAGTGGTAGGAGGTGCTGGTTTTTACTGTGTGTGAGTTTTTGCATAAATTTGTATTCAAACATGAAGAAGTATATGTTATACCAAATGGGGGAGCAACTGACTCCCATGGGGATGCCCAGGATATGTCTCTATGTGTGGTTACCGAGGGATGTATATGCATTATTAATAAGCCAAGAGTTCATTTGTATTATATCCATAGTTGAGAGGGGGGGTCTCATTTAATCGGGGTTTGCATTTCAGTAGCATTCAAAGAGGGTGTCCTTGTTTGTCTTGCTCACGAAGTGTAGTGTGGCATGTCATCCATATATCTTTCTTATCGTGGGAAGACAAGCCATACAAAGAATCTGATTGCATTTGGTAAGCTATCCAGGGATTGATCTGTTGGAATGGTTTCACAGCAGCGTGTAATGTCGGCGGCAAAAGCATTGTTGATTTGGTTAGGGATGTTGTAGATGTAGTCAGTTTTGGAGTCTATAATCCACCAGAAGAGTACCCTGTGTCCCGTTTTGTGGAAGGTTTGCTCAGTAGGTTGTCCACAGTGTTCTTGAAGAGCCAACTTGAGTTTGTTGAGGATTGTTGAGCAAGCGTCAGCAAGTGGGGAGAAGACGTCGTTGGCCGCGTTGGTGAGTCATTGAAATGTGTTTTTGTGTTTTTTGAATGTGGCGAAGAGGAAGGGTATGGCGGGCTTACCAATGAGGATCATTGGGAAGCGTGTGGTAAGTTCTTGTGTGAGTGAGTACAATAATTCTTTCATGGTCATAGGATAGGGTATAAAATCAGGCGTAGAGAGTCGTTGAGGGGGAGTAGTGTAATGACCCGCCATAACACGGACTGAGATGCTGCTGATTTTTTAGTTCTGCCAATGGAATGGATGCCTTGCAGAGATTCCCGCATTCTGCTGAGTTTTCTAAGTCTGTGCGTGAGCGTGCTTGATGACCTGCATGCTTGTTTGAGTGCTTGTCGGCATGAGTGTGTGTGTGACCCGCAAGGGTACTTGCTTGTTGGGAGGCCCGTAGGGCCAGTACTTACCTGTGGCCGTGATATTGAGGGTTGCAGCAGGGAAAACACTCGAGTAGCGGAGCCAGAGGCCCACGACACTTAGAGCAGCGGGAAAACACTCAAGTAGCACGTAGGCCGGTACCGCACCCAGTAGCAGTAGATTGAGGCCGACCAGAAGAAGATGAAGTTGGCATTTTTAGAGGCCCAGTAGTGGTAGGCTAGGTCTAGGTCGGTACCAGTCCATCCAGTGTGAGTCTAGAGCCTGTACGGGCAACATCAGAGTCTGCAATAATGTTTCCCTCCG